AGGTCAAGCTCCAGCAGGGGTCCAGAGAACCCGAGCCAAGCGGCGGATAGACCCGCGCTTGGAAATCCACCAGAGGAAGACTCGGAGGCACAGCGCAAGACCAGATCGAAGCGCATCCCAGACCTGGTATCCGAGCAGCAGTACAGGGATCATATGATGACTCACCTCTCGTTTCGCTCCTGGTGCGACCACTGTGTCGCTGGAAAGTCCAGGGAGGACTCTCACCCGTTGCGAGAGGCACGGAAGTGTAAGGGCGAGGTCCCCCGTTTCTGCGTAGACTATGCCTTTTTAGGCAGCGCGTTGAAGGGCGAGATGCCTAAGACGGCAGAGGCGTTAAAGGAGCCCCTTGACGCGGAGGACGCCCAACGACCAATACTGGTCATGGTGGATCAGGAGACGGGAGCGACCTTCTCCTACTTGGTCACAAAGGGGGTCAACAACTACGCCGTTCATGTTATGAACGAGGCCCTCAAGTTTGCGGGAAGACAAAGGGTGATCATCATGTCGGATGGCGAGCCCGCGATCCGAGCCGTGGTGGATACGGTGGCCAGACAGGCCGGAAGGGAAACCCAGGTGCAGCACGCACCAAAGGAAACACATGGACCCAGTAACGGGGCAGCCGAACGAGCTATCCTAGAGGTGGCCAGGCAGGCCAGGACGCTGGTCCATGCCCTCGAGACACGTTATCCTGGATACCAACTCAAGGGTGACAACGAGGTGTTTCCTTGGGTGATTCGCCACAGTGGTTGGCTTATCACCCGGTTCCTGATCAAGGCTGATGGAAAGACGCCCTATGAACGGCTGAAGGGCCGAGAATACAAGGGCGAGATAGTGGATCCACTGGAAACTATCCACTACAAGATCGACAAGGATCAAAGGGGCAAGCTGGATGCCCAAACTTCCATTGGCATTTGGTTGGGTAAGACCCTCAGTGCAGATGAGCACGTTGTGGGAACTCCGCAGGGCATCCGAAAGTGCCGCTCGGTCTGGAGGAGACCGGAGCCCAGGAGATGGGAAAAGCACCGCTTGGAGGCGGTGACGGGCACACCCTGGCAGCCCAAGAGCCAGGCGTTGGTGGTACCGGGTGACAACAGGCCAATCACCCTGCCAGACGGGCGCAAGGGGAGATCTGTATACATCACCCTGGAGCGCCAGATCAAACGTGGCCCAACGCCAGGCTGTCCGGGATGCAACTGCTCTGCAGGAGAAGTGAAGCCACACAGCCCAGAGTGCAGGAAGAGGTTCGGTGAACTCTACCCTCGAGAGGCCACAGGCTACAGCACAGAGCCAGGCGAAGAAGGGGCGGATGCAATGGACATCTCCGGGGCTGGTGCTTCCGCCCGCCCAGGAAAGCGAGCCACAGGGTTCGGGGGGAACCGACGCTGTGCAAAGCCGCAAGGACCTCAAGAAGCAGTTGGCCGACAAGCCAGGGAGCGGAGAGAAGCCGCGCAGCAAGCGCAGGAAGAGCCTGAAAGGTTCAGGCTTACACAGAAGGGCTCCAAGAGAACTGCAGAGGTTCCCGTGGAAGAAGCGGTTGCTGAAGCAGCCGCGGAAGAGGTGATAGGAGGCCTCCCTTCACGAGGAAACGCTGCTTGCAGCTTATCCTGAAGATGGGCTGCTAGAGAGCCAGGGTGCGTTTGACGAACGCACAGGGGAGGCGCTTCCTGTTGAAAAGGTCAAGAAAGCGCGTGGCCGTGAGCTTGACAAGATGCTAAGGAGGACATCACCTGGGAAGAGGCTAAAAGCCGAGGACTTAAAATAGTCAAGAGCAGATGGGTGGATGGCTGGAAGCCACTCCCAGATGACCCCCAGGGTGTTCGGAGTCGGTGCGTGGCTCAGGAAGTCAACGTGAGCCAAAGGGATGACGTGGCGTCCGGAACGCCTCCGTTGAAGGCCCACCGGATGGTCCTGTCCCACGCGGCTACCAAGGCTCCAGGCGCGCGTGCTAACAAGAAGCTTATCGCCAGATACGACGTATCAGTGGCATTCTTCCATGCAGGCTCAACAGGGAAGATTGCTGTGGTTCCACCAAAGGACTTGGACCAGAGTCGCTTGTGGTTCCTGAACAAGGCGATGAATGGAACGCGGGAAGCGTCCAAAGAATGGGCAGCAAAGATCCTCAAGAACACCCTGTCCATGACCTCATGGTGTGCTGCCATGGGGGCGACTTCTTGGCTTCAGGTGAGAAGCCATCCTTGGAGTTTTTGGATGGCCTCATGCTCGAAGAGTATGAGGTAAAGATCCTCCCCAAGTTGGGGCCGCCAGAGCATGGCGGAGAGTGCTCCGAGGGCACACATCTGCATCGGAAGCTTACCTGGAGCAGGGAAGGCTACAGCGGAAAAGGGGTTGACACCCCAGCCTCCAAGGAGACAGGAAAGAACGACAGGTTTGCGGAGGAGGAGCTGTCGCCTGAGGAGGCCAGTGAGTTCCGAAGGCTCGCGGGGACAGCGCTGTATCTGAGTCTTGACCGGCCCACGATACAGTTTGCAATAAGCGACATTACTGCAGGAATGGCCAAGCTGCGTCGCATTCACATGCACCGGCTCAAGCGCCTAGCCCGCTACCTACTCAAGTTTCCGTCGGAGGTGTGGGTCTACAAGTACCAGGAGGCCCCAAGCGAGCTAGTTGTTTATACTGACTCCGATTGGGCACAGGACCCAAAGACGAGAAAGAGTATGAGCGGATATGTGGAGATGTTCGGGTCCCATATGATTGAGACCAGCTGCGCAAGGCAATCAACAGTTGCCTTGTCAAGCGGGGAGGCAGAGTACTATGCCTTGACCCGTGGTGTAGCGGCAGGCCGCATATCGCAACAGATCTGGGAGATCATTGGCTACAAGCTTCCGCTGGTGGCCAAGACTGATTCGACAGCTGGGAAGGGCATTGCCCAACGAAAGGGGAAGCACCTGGAGCTCAGGGAGCTCTGGCTGCAAGACTACGTGCAGCAGGGCAAGGTGCAAATCCGGAAGGAAGCCACCACAACAAACGTGGCTGATCTAGGAACTAAGGCCCTAAACGGCCCTAGGATCACGGAGTTGACCAGGATGCTGCCTCTCCGAAGGGGCTTCGTGGCAGCGATTCTGGCAATGTGTTTGAACGTGGCTGCGGCACAACCGCAGGAAGAAGAAGTCAGCTTCGATGCTGCAGGCTTCTGGGTGTACATGCTCATTGTGCACCTCTTGGCCCTGATTGGGCTGGTTCAGGTAGCAAGGAAGGTTGCCGGACTCTGCGGTCCTAGCAGAGCTGTGAAAAGGTCGAACTCGTCGACACAAACGAGTGGTACAGTGCAGGTCGCGGCCAGCCCCGCACCTGCGCCACCGTGTGGCCGTGAAGGCCCTACACGAAGGAGGCCGGCGGTTGAAACTGCTGCCGCCAGCAGTAGCACTGGTAGAGCTGAACTGGAAACCGCACCTGCGGCTCCCAGTACTGCAGTCCCGCACCCGGCGCCGGGAGGAACTGAACAACAGAAGGCTTGAAGACAGACGCCAGGCAAAAGAGCTGGCTACAAGTCAGCGTGAAGTTGTTTTTGTGACAAGTAAAGGTGGAAGGTACCACAAGGAAACCTGTGGTGATCTTCGGTATGCCAGGAGGAACAACCCCCGTGGCATTGTACAGTACAGCAGGCAGGAAGCCCAGAACAGAGGCTACACAGCCTGCGGCAACTGTGGTGGTTGATTTTTGATCCCACCAACACATCCTAAGTGTGTCCAACTCTCTAAGAGAGTGGGCCATGGAGGGGTGTTAGGATGTAAAGCCTATTCTTGCCCCAGGTGAGACGTATGCGCTGCAGCCCCTTCGGTTGCTCAAGCGAGGCATAAAAGTTAGCTTGAGTTCTGTGTGAGTGAGGTTTAAGGGTTAACCAAAACCCTTGCAGTTTTCCACCCTGATTTTTTTTGTGTTTTCTATAGTATAGTATAGTATAGTATAGTATAGTATCGTATCGTATCGTATAGTAATGATGATAATAACAGTAATACCCATAGTACTAGTAATAGTAATGGTAATAATAGGAATAAAAATAGTACTAGGAATACAAATAGTAACACGAAGTATAGTATAGTATAGTCTAGTATCCCATAGTGTAGTAAAGAATAGTATTGATTGGTAAAATATTGTATAGCACGGTCGAGCAAGGTGTAGTAT